ACCACCCACATGTGGCCCGCAATTAACTATCAGTAGAAGGTAATCTGACCCCTGTTGTAGGTTTTTGGTCCTTTACTGAGATGGCAGGGGCAATTATCTGTACTTAAATGTATTCTAAGTACTTTTATAGTACTTACAAATCAAAGTTTTGTCATCTACCTGGAATTTTACTACTTAGATATACCCGCCCCCTGTTGGAGGTGTCGGGGGCATCAGTGGGTCTTTGCCCAGCCCCCCCACCCTCAAAACATTCAGAGATACTGCCTGTGATTTCCACTGCAATTGAACCACAGAAATAAAAATACAAATAAATTCAATTTCCCCACTTACTGCATCCCACCTGCAGGAGCCCCATGGTCCCTGAGGGAGGAGAGCGCCCCCCACCTTGGGAACCACTGGTTTAGGCCAACCAGACGTTTCTTTTTAGCCTTAATGATATTGATTCACCTAAAATGTTTACAACTATTTAGTATGACTTTAGTGCGTTGTTTGTGGAGGGGCCACCACATGGACGCAACCTGATATCTGCGTGGTTATGGGCTGTGTACCACATGGGCATACATACCCTCAGGCAACAGGTCTGTGGTTCGATGCTCGGCTCTCTGTTGTTTCCTGTTTCTTGCTGACTCCATTCCCAAAAAAGGAGCTTAAACCCAAAACAACAAAGCAACACTGTGCTCTTAATCTGTCGCAAAAGCTGCATTCCTGTAAGTTTTGTGTATTCTTAAAAAAAAAATTTGTACCGCAAGCACACACACACATATCCTCCTGCTTTTTTTTTTCTCATCTGTTCTCACTTTAGGCTTTGAGGTCTTTGTTTACAGCGACAAAACATAGCTGCCGGTCAACAACAGGAAGGCTTTTGATTTGACTTGTACCAAATAGTTGAAAATTAATTTAGATTTGACCAAAAACTTGTTTATTGTCCATAATAAATGTTACACTCGGTCCGGGGTACGAGGCACCGACAATTAGTTTTGGGTGTAACGGCGTTCTACACACAGTTCCGTGACTCTGAGACGACGGCAGGGAGAGGCCGAGGGATGAAAAAAAAAGTTAGGGCGGAGTGATTGGCAGGTGAGATCAGAGTGTGTTTGCTCTTGTGGTGCAAAGATAATAGACTCCAATGCCAGTGTGGAGCATCAAAGTCTGTGTGGGATAAATGTTGACACTCAGAGAAAAATTAATCACATTTTAAAGGATTCATTTTGATTTGTAAAAGCCACTGATTAATGAGAACTGTAGAAAGATTATTGGCTCAAATGTTACATACTTAAAATAAGTGTGTGTGTGCGTGTTGCACAATAGTTGCTGAGGGGCATAGAGCTATAAGTGCACGGAATTTCCCACATCCATGCAACCAGAGGGATCCAGATGCGATCAAGAAACCAAAAAAAAAACAACAAAAAAAGCTTCATTTAAATCAAACAACGTTAATATTTGCAGTAAGTGGCTGTGTCACAGATGTTCCATGTGCCTTTGAAGACAAAGTTTGACATTTTAAAGATACATGTTGCTTTAGGTAGAGATGAAGCACACAGATGTGTAACATCAGAGGCTTGTGGTCCTCCCTGTTTTTATTTATACACTGTGGACCAGGCTGATGTTGCAGCGACTGCTCTGATCCTTGGTTACACCAGGGACGACGGCGACCGCTCCCACTCACATTCACACCTGTGGACATTTTAGTGTAAGTCATGACCCAGTAACTCTCTATATTTAAAGCCACCTCCATGACTGTCTCGTAATACTAGAGAGGATGTAGATTATAGGCTGCTGATTGGGTTATAATCACTGAGGAGAATACAGAACTCCAGCACCTCTGAACATTTCCCCCACAGAAGCGAGTAATCATGACGATAAAAGGAAAGGAAAGACCACCCATCCTGGGCCTAATGGAGAGTTTCACAAAATAAAAAAATTACCGAGACCATATTTCTTACACGTTTTGTAAACACGTGGTCATATAAGGGAAGTTGTATGGAGAATACCGTCTTATTGTCTGTATCATATACAGGGTTTATGGTCTGGTTGGTATGGAACCCTGGTACTACTGACCAGGACGACAGCAGATGAGCAGCCACAAATTACAGGGAGCTGAGATTAGGTTGGTGTAGTTTGGGGCGGGTGGAGAGGAGAAGACCTCATGTCTGTGACATCAGAGTCAAGGAAGGAGTGAGCAAAGAACTTTCTCCTCCGTGCTGTCTGTCTGCAATGAAGCTTGATGTCAACCTCAGACCGACATGTTAGGAGGCTCAACAGGAGGCTGGTGTTCTCCACACAGTCCACGTCTGCTCTGACTGACAGCTTTCTTCTTTTATCTATTCTTACATCACTGTGAGTTTTTAAAATGTAACTAATCTTTTGGGATAATAGACCAAACTGTAACTATCCATTTACAAACTATGGTTGAAAAGTTAAGGCTCTTTCACCGTTTGACATTATCAGTTTTTGTCTTTTCCTCTAAACGGGATCTGTCAGCTCCCCTTCAATTTATTTCTGAAGCTTCCAGTTTCGTAAATTCACCATAAAAAAATAGAAAATAAACCATTTTGTCACCATCCCCTGACCCTGAAACTGGCAGCAAACACCAGCCACCGTGTGACTCCACAGACTGGACTTGTTTCTGCCTGGATTACTGTCGCCACCTTTGAAGCCATTCAAACGCTCTGTAGTGTCTGACAGATAAAAACGTCACATGTGGGTACGAATCCCTCTCAGTCTCCTCTCTTCTCCTTCAGTCAGTGTTAAATCCCCACACACTGAGGACCTGTCGCCGTGTTCTCCAAACAACACCAGCATCACACACCTGAAGAATTCTTTTGAAGCCGTCAGAGCCACATTTGGTGCTGTCTTCAGGTCCCATCTCCCTCAGACAGACGTCAGAGCCGATAACATCTGATGTTTGACAAATTCATGTATGTTCAAACCTCTCTGTGTTATTGAAGCTGGCAAAGCTCA